AATAGTGAAACTATTGAATAGAAATGTAATTAGTAGTCGGTAAATTGTTGCAAAATTTCGGAACACAATTGCACGAGAATGTATGCAAATGAATCTGACCGAAACGGCGCTTTCGGCCGTAAAATGATGAGAGTCATAATGATAATAATAATTTAACATCGCGTTATGCATGTCAACAATCAGCGACTTGGGTCTTCTGCAAACGTTCGGAGAGGCACTAAAGGCGATTACGTAACGAGACCGCGCGTTTCCACGGGACGTACAAACTAAATGGAAATAATTACGTACACTTTTCCGCACACTCGTGCACTCACATCGCGTAATTACTATCAAAAGCCATTTGTGTTTCCTTACTTATTCAGTAAAACCTTTCTTGTTTTCCAGTGCTACTTTTACCCATTATATGTAGAAGAGGTAATTCCAACTGTTTAACAATCTAACAATCAATTACAACAGTTCAACAATTATTTAAAATTTTTACATCTAAAACAAATATTTGTTTTTAACTAAAATTTTTAGAAAGTTTTTTTTTATTACATTTGGCATTAATGCATTCAAAATAAATATTCTATAAACTATTTATTAACTTTTGTCCGATTTTTTTTGGGTAAATAATGAATGTAACAAAGAGACGATATTACGCAAAAAGTGAAGTTGTATGAATGGACTTTTGTGTATGAAAACGCTTCTTTGCAGCTGTTGTAGTAAGCCAATGCTGCTTTGATGAAATTGCCCAACTCCTTCAATTATCTGCTTCGAAACTTGAAAAAGGAACTCTTGCTGCAAAAAGAAGAGAGATTTTGACGACGATGAGGTGCTGCAGCGAACCGTTTTCAGCCCATACCAAAAGAGTATCCGACGAGCTCTCAGCAAAAGCAAAACTTATACAATTATGTATTTTACTGCTCTTGTTGCTCTTTTCTTTCATTCAATTCTTGCTTACTTTCTACAATTTCTTTTTGTTACAATAGTAGTAAACATAAATTACAAGTCTTATTTCTATAAAATAAGATTTGTTAATAAATAAATTAAAAAAATACAAGAAAAGAACACAAAAATTTACAAATACTTCGATTTTTTCTATGTTATTTCAATAAAAAATTCGAATATTTGTCAACAAATTTTATATTATATCATCATATTTCTGTGTCGGTGGCAAACGCAAGCCCGACAACCGAAATCCCGGCTGGCTCAAAATCTATATCTAAATCCCGACTATGTCAAAATCCCGACAGTGTCTTTTATTATTATAAACTTCTACAATAACATTTTTATGGTAGTCGAGATTTCGATATAGTCGAGATTTCGATATAGTTGGGATTTCGTTATATTCGGGATATAGATATAGTCGGGATTATGGTAGTCGGGATTTTGAGCCAGCCGGGATTTCGAATGTCGGGATTTCAATAGACGGTTGTCGGGCTTGCGATATAGACCCTTTCTGTATATATACAGTGAAACCTCGCTTAACGATCAAAATTAATTGTAAGAAAAATGAGCGACGTTTCGCATAACGAGTGAGAGGAAATGTCACGGATTGTTCGCCTGCACAATTTTGAATATGTTTCACTATACGAGTATTTCACTATACAAGTAAAAATCCGGAAATTTTGGAACGGATTAAACTCGTTAAGTGAGGTTCCACTGTATATATATTTATATGAGAAGTAAAGGTAAAACTACGTTTTCTTTATTCTTTTGGTAGCAAACAATATAACGTGCATTTTAGATGATAGGAGGAGAGAAACAGGATATTGCTGTAAAATTCTACAAAGCCGAAGCATAAAAGTCTGCCATGAAAAATTGATTGTGCTACGGCCGAGACCGAAATGCATTGATAATCCGAACGTACAAGGGGAAAATCATCAAAGTCGAATCACCCTGTAAAATGTGCGCTGTGCGTCTGCATGTTTCGCATTTTGTAGAAAGAAATCCTGCTAACCTATTAACAACTCTTCCTGTTTACATCTCCAAACAAAGTACATATTTTTTAGTATTATGTGAAACGAAATTGCATATTGTTAACTTTGTACAAATAAGGAGAACAAAAGTTTATTACAGACTTTTATTAGCTTTAAAAAAAGGGAATTTCTTAATTATTCTCAATATTTTATAATACAATTCTTTCAAATTAAATTGTCCTTGGTTTCATAATCATTTAGGTAATGACGTTCAAATCATTTTTGATTTGATAACAAACATGTAAAGTGCGTAACGAGAGGCAGGAAATGGTTAAAAATTATATCAAAATTTATATTGATAAAAAGAAATGCTTACGTATATTGTGTTTCTGACGTAGATTTGAAGATTATTTATTATCAATTTACTTTTCCTGTTAAATTTCAATTAAATTAGTAAAGGAAATGTGATTATTTGATGAAATTTCAAAATTTATAACAATATATCTAAAGTAATTGTGAAATTGAAATACAGTGGAACCTCGCTTAACGAGCAACGTTTCGTATAACGAGTAACGATGAGAAGATAAGTCCCGGATTGTGCGCCTTCTAAATCATTTTCAAAACTTGTGTACACGTCACGACACGTCATGTATAATGTTTTCTTATGTTTATTGTTATATTAATTATCAAAATAATTACTTATTATGAAATTGGTAAGACATTTCTCATATCATGTCACGTCATGTCACGTTTTAGTGCCATTACAACATATTAATTTCATATGTCACGTCACGTCTTGTCATGTATTTATTACTTGTCTTCAAACAATTTGTGATTTTTTTTTGTGCAAAATTTAATAACACTGGTATATCTCCGAATAAAAAGCTAAATAATAAAAATAACCATAGAAATGAAAAGCAAAATCATGAAAAATCGGATTAACGGAATTTACATTGGTTTATATGGGAAAAGGAGTAAAAATCCGGATTAAACTCGTTAAGCGAGGTTCCACTGTATTTGAAATAATCTACCAAAAAATTTGAATACTATATACTATACATATTAATTTCTTATATCACGTCACGTCACGTCACGATATATTATGTAATTTCTTCTAATGTATTTTAGTGTAAATGCAGATTTATGTATAGATTTATTAACTATGAAACTAAGTTACATATTAATTACTCATGTCACGTCACGACACGTCATGTATAATGTTTTCTTATGTTTATTGTTATATTAATTATCAAAATAATTATTTATTATGAAATTGGTAAGACATTTCTCATATCATGTCACGTTTTAGTGCCATTACAACATACATAACATCTTAAGAAAACATTTTATGCAATTGCTACGCCCGACACATATTAATTTCATATGTCACGTCACGTCTTGTCATGTATTTATTACTTGTCTTCAGACAATTTGTGATTTTTTTTTGTGCAAAATTTAATAACACTTGCATATATCCGAATAAAAAGCTAAAGAATAAAAATAACCATAGAAATGAAAAGCAAAATCATGAAAAATCGGATTAACGGAATTTAAATTGGTTTATATGGGAAAAGGAATAAAAATCCGGATTAAACTCGTTAAGCGAGGTTCCACTGTATTTGAAATAATCTACCAAAAAATTTGAAAAAACGTAATACGAGGTAACAAAAGAAAAACATACATTATTTATTAGTAAATATTGCTAATTTATTGTTGCTTTTCGGATATAAATTTTACTATTATTTGAAATTAGTAATAAAAGTATCAATTGTACTATAATTAAACTAGTAACGAAATTAGTATACTTAATTTAAATTATGAAGGTGAGAAATAAGTATTACTGTATTTACATGGTTTATTTCTTACATAACTAAGTTACAAAGTACATATATTTTTTAATCAATTAAATGAATATTTATCTATTTTCTATTATGCATTATATTTACACATCGTTGCTTTACGTTTGTTGAATATCATTATTTGATATTTCGACTACGTAAATAATGCAAGAAGGAAACAAATATAAAAGAAAATTGGGGCGTATGGCTTTAAAGTAGGTGGATTTGGAATGGACCGTGTTTATTCGATTGATTCTCCTCCTATTATTTCGCGCAGACAATAAACTTGCAAACATGAACTGCAGCATTGAACATCTCGAATATATGTTTAAAGAGTAAAGAAAGATTATATTGCAATATCCGTAAAATTGGAAAAAAATGCATATGAAGAATAAAGTTGATGGTTCTGCAAAACAATTTTTTTGGAAAAAAGGGGTGAGCTCATCCCACGGGAAATTCTGGATACGATTCGCAGGTATAAATCTATTGATGGCCCCAAGTCGTTTATTTATTTTTCCGCTCTGAATAAAACATGCGGCCGGGATTGAGCGAGAGAGGAAGAAAATTCCTGGGCTTCACCGGAGGTTTCGGGAGCAAAAATTCCCGAGGTAAATAAACTCGCAACAAGTGAGCTGACGGCGGCGGCTGAGGCGGCGCAATACCGGTATCGGCGCGGACCTCCAATTAATTGGAAACCTCCCCAAAAGAAAGATGTGTGTAGTTCTGAACGACATCCAACTTACCAGGAACAATTTTATTTGATGATCTCCGCAATGTCAATTACTCTTATAGATAGAGTGATGTGTAAAGGTGATGGTGGAAGCAGGCACTCGCGAATCTCGTTTCTTCGGAGACGGCACTTTTCCGAAAAACTCCTTCTGGATTGATGATGATGCTGCTGCTGGTACAGACGGGGTTGAGGGTGACCGAGCACTGGTCTACGTCTCCTCTTCCGCGAGCTCCCGGAGCATTTTCGCGCATGGCTCCGGATTCAGCCGCCGCCGCCGCCGCCTCCGGAGCCCCAGACCTCTCTCTCTCTATCATCCAGCATCCGCCGCTCAAACGCACGCACGCCGCCAAAGAACAATCCTCTTTGACCGCATCATTCCAATAAATAACAATATTTCAAAAAAAAAACAACAATTAATTACTTAGGTAACACATACTTATCACACGATATGCGAACGCACATCATATCACACAATTCATAGTTCTATATGTACAGCGTATGGCCCTCTTCGATTATATTATCTAAATTTGATCTTCTCTCCTATCCTCTTCGTTTATGCCCGGAAGCTGTGAAGTAACCTTTGCGTAGGGCTCAGGTTCGCCATCTCCTGCAGTTTGTCCTCCTTAAACTTCTTGTACTCCTCGCAAGTCGACGAGTTGGCCGGGCCCCAATTCTCCGATGAAAACGACTTCGAGACCATCTGAAGCGGAAACACGAGACGTTTAATCGATATATTAATTATAAAAATAAATTACAAATCTAACAAGAAATATTTTTAGCACATCCTTCGGCCTCTCCATACAATTCAATCACGTCCATTCACATTATATAATTACATTTTCTTTCAATTTTCTATAGTTACATGAATCTAACATATTTTTTTCTCTCCTCTGATGTTTCAATATTATGAAACATTCATACATAGCAAGTGTATCAAATAAAAAGTAAGTACATTTCATGTAATTATTACGTGTGACACATATTAATTTTTCGTGTCACGTCATGTAACTTGTGTTTTAGTACAGATTTATATACAAAAACTTAAGAATACACTTTGTGCAATTGGTATACTCACATTAATTTCTTATGTCACGTCACGTCACATTATTTCTTATGTTTATTGTTATATTAATAAGCAAAATAATTACTTATTATGAAATTGGTAAGACATTTCTCATATCATGTCACGTCATGTCACGTTTTAGTGCCATTAAAAATTTATATATAAAATCTTAAGAATACATTTTATGCAATTGCTACGCCCGACACTTATTAATTTCGTATGTCACGTCTCGTCACGTCTTGTCATGTAATTAATGGTGTAAATACAATATATTGATATATTCATTATGAAATTATTTACTTTTTATGAAATTGTTAAAGCCACGTCATGCCATGTATTATTTCTCACGCGCCATTACAGATTTGTATATCACGTCACGCTATATTATGTAATTTCTTCTAATGTATTTTAGTGTAAATGCAGATTTATGTATAGATTTATTAACTATAAAACTAAGTTACGTATTAATTACACATGTCATTTCACGTCACGTCACGTTATGTATTTTGTATATATTGATATATTAACTATGAAACTAAGTTACATATTAATTACTCATGTCACATCACGACACGTCATGTATAATGTTTTCTTATGTTTATCGTTATATTAATTATCAAAATAATTACTTAATTAAATTGGTACGACATTTCTCATATCATGTCACGTCATGTCACGTCACGTCTTGTCATGTATTTATTAGTGTAAATACAATATATTGATATATTGATTATGAAAATATTTACTTTTTATGAAATTGTTAAAGCATTTCTCATGTCACGTCATGTTATGTCATGTATCTCACGTGCCATTACAGATTTAAATGCAAAAAACATATTAATTTCTTATATCACGTCACGTCATGCTATATCATGTAATTTCGTCTTATGTAGTTTAGTGTAAATGTAGATTTAAGAAAAAAATTACAATTTATGAAATTGCCAAGCCATTTTTCATGTCACGTCACGTCATGTATTTTTTATATATTGTTATATTAACTATCAAACTAAGTTACATAATAATTACACATGTCACGTCACGTCATGTACTTTATTTTTCATATATTTTTAAAGCGGATGCAGAATTATCTCGCCACTAAATGTGATAATAAACATACAAATATTACAATGAAATACATTGTGTAAATTTGCAATTGGTAGACCTGATACAAATGTATTTCGACACAATTACATGGACCAATAATAGGACCAAACGAATTAATTAATTAATTACATAATAACATCCATTATTTGCAATTACATGTTGTAATCGATTTCGTGATCATTGATAACTAATGTTTGCTTTTCAATACATAATAATAGATAACATAAGCTGCAAATCGGATACAAATAAATTGCATTTAAATTACTCATTTTCAACGCAATTTTAACTGAGTGAATGCATTTATTTAATTATTATATAGTAAAATTTTAATAGAATGTAGGAAATATACAATACTGACCTTAACACATCCGTACTCTCTGTTAGAGTATAAATAGTAGCAAGCCCACATCAGAAGCTGCAAGACGGTGACGGCAAGAATGAGCCAACCAAAAGCTGCGAATTGATACACACGTGTTAAATCTGTTGAATTATGTAAACGCTGTAATTAGTTTCATACCAAGTATAGAGTCAGGATAACCGTGTGTTCCGTACTCGAGCCGTTTGAGCGTCAGGATGAAGTAAACGAAGATGAGGATGAGCACTATAGGCGTCACCAATCCCCACATCACCCTGAAGTAAACGTGCACTTTCCTCTTCAACATGAACTCCAAATCGATGCAGAAGTTCTCCAATCCGTACCACCACATCACAGTTAACACCTCGATGAGAGTGACCACGAAGATGACGAAAGTCCCACCAAAGTGATCGACCATATTAAGCATGTACTGACCTCCCTGCACGACAAAAAAATAAAATAAAACGATCTATTAACTGCAAGAAACAGGATGAAAGAAAAAATATTATATATAAAAGCGAAACTTTACCGGCGTTACGTAAACTAATCCTATAAGAAATCCGACGATCGCTGTGCCCAACGAAACTTGCCAACTTTTCAACGACGGAAAGGAATCCATGATGACCGTGATGGCGCACCCTTGCAAAGCCACCAAACTTCCAACGCCGAGCACGAGCAGCATCACGAAGAAAAGGATTGCGAATAACTGCGGATTTTATTTTCAGTTTAATTAATTGATTTGTTGCTTTTAATTTGATTGTTGCAATTACCCAGGGAACGCTTTCGAATTTCGCTATCGCCTCCGGGTACGAGATGAAGGCTAGACCGGTTCCACCTGCGTTCACCACGTCCTTAACTTCGACGTTCAACTCGTGCGCCAGGTTTCCCAGGATTCCGAATATCGTCGTTCCTGCCAGAAGAGATGTGAACGTATCCAACGTCGTTACGACCATCGCATCCCTGCAAAACAACACAATTTCAGTCAGTATTTTCATGTAGACGCATCTTCCTTTCCGCAGAACTTAATTGAAACTTAAACTAGTGGAAAACCGTACACTCCGCCTAGGGAATATAATTAAATTTTACACTGAGCTCCGCCGTAATTTTGCAGCAAGAAACCCGATATATTACAGAAAAAATAAACTACACATTTCCACATTTTCATACTTTTTTTTTTCATTCGTTATGTAGTGAATATAAAGGGCACAACGAAATTAAATTAATTCGCTCTTCAACTACCAATAAACATGCAATAAAATCCACATATTGCTCAATAAATAAACGTGTAAAAACTCTTACAAAGCAATCAAAGTTATTGCTTTTAATTTTTTATAATATTTTTTAACGATTTTAATAAATCGCAATGATAATTAATTGCCTCAATTCATTTTTTTAAAAGCTTTAATTAACTTTTTTTTTCATTTTTAGTTATAGTATTTTCTACATACTTATGAAATAATAACTTTATAACTAATTGCAAAGTTATTGCTTTTAATTTTTTATAATATTTTTTAACGATTTTAATAAATCGCAATGATAATTAATTGCCTCAATTCATTTTTTTAAAAGCTTTAATTAACTTTTTTTTTTTATTTTTAGTTATAGTATTTTCTACATACTTATGAAATAATAACTTTATAACTAATTGGATCATGAATTTTGCTATGAAAACTTTGAAATAAGTCAACAAAGTTACATTTTTAAGCTACACTAATAAGTAATTTTCGATACTCAATACGTATAATATAGTTACATTGTAAGCTGCGTATTTCTTGATTAATCTCGCCTAAACCTGTTATCTTCGCCATAAACTAACCATTAAATTAATCCAGACATTAAATCTAAATTGTAACCGCACGTTAAATCTGTTGTTCAATACTGTCGTAGGCTGTTTATATTACATACAAATACAATTTATAATGAAGTTTGTAAAAGAAAATACTATAAATTAATAAAGTGTTATTATTTCAAATGGAAATTTACAATTTAAATTACAAAAATGAAATTTAAGTTTAAGTTTAAATAAACTTCTGAACTGCTACAGTTGCTTACAATTTTAATTTATGTAACGTGCATTTATTTAATAATTTTACTTCTTTTTGGTATTTGATGATTGATTCTGAAGATTCAATTTGAAATTTAGTTAATATAAGACTGTAGAAGTAAAATCTAATATTTTCCAATTAGAGTTTAGAGATAGATTAATAAAGGTATATTATAATAGGAATAAAATTAATATAGATAATAAGTGTATTTCAAATATGGAAAAATAAATTGATATTTAAGTTTAAATAAACTTCTGATCTGGTAGAGTTGAAGTTTATTAGACTCTTAATGAAAAGCTTTTATATAACGTGCATCTATTTAATAACTTAAGTTTAAATCACTTTTTTTAATTATTTAATGATTTGGTATTCTGAAGATTCAATTAAAAATAAGACTGTAGAAGTGAAATGTAATATTTTCAATTAGTTTAATGAAAGTATATTAGAGATGAAGATATTAATATAAATAATAATAAGTGTATTTCAAAAATGGAAAAACAAATTGATATTTAAGTTTAAATAAACTTCTAATCTGGTAGATTTGAATTTTCTTAGACTCTTAATGAAAAGCTTTTATATAACGTGCATCTATTTAATAACTTAAGTTTAAATCACTTTTTTTATTATTTAATGATTTAGTATTCTGAAGATCCAATTAAAAACAAGACTGTAGAAGTGAAATGTAATATTTTCAATTAGTTTAATGAAAGTATATTAGAGATGAAGATATTAATAAGTGTATTTCAAATGTGGAAACACAAATTGATATTTAAGTTTAAATAAACTTCTGATCTGGTAGAGTTGAATTTTCTTAGACTCTTAATGAAAAGCTTTTATATAACGTGCATCTATTTAACAACTTAAGATTAAATCACTTTTTTTGGTATTTAATGATTTGGAATCTTTAGATTCAATTAGAAACAAGACTGTAGAAGTTAAATGTAATATTTTCAATTAGTTTAATGAAAGTATATTAGAGATGAAGATATTAATAAGTGTATTTCAAATGTGGAAACACAAATTGATATTTAAGTTTAAATAAACTTCTGATCTGGTAGAGTTGAAGTTTATTAGACTCTTATTGAAAGGCTTTTATATAACGTGCATTTATTTAATAACTTAAGTTTAAATCACTTTTTTTAGTATTTAATGATTTGGTATTCTGAAGATTCAATTAGAAACAAGACTGTAGAAGTGAAATGTAATATTTTCAATTAGTTTAATGAAAGTATATTAGAGATGAAGATATTAATTTAGATAATAATAAGTGTATTTCAAATGTGGAAAAACAAATTGATATTTAAGTTTAAATAAACTTCTGATCTGGGTAGAGTTGAAGTTTATTAGACTATTAATGAAAAGCTTTTATATAACGTGCATCTATTGAATAACTTAAGTTTAAATCACTTTTTTTTAGTATTTAATGATTTGGTATTCTGAAGATTCAATTAGAAACAAGACTGTAGAAGTGAAATGTAATATTTTCAATTAGTTTAATGAAAGTATATTAGAGATGAAGGTATTAATATAGATAATAATAAGTGTATTTCAAATGTGGAAAAACAAATTGATATTTCAGTTTAAATAAACTTCTGATCTGATAGAATTGAATTTTCTTAGACTCTTAATGAAAAGCTTTTATATAACGTGCATCTATTTAATAACTTAAGATTAAATCACTTTTTTTGGTATTTAATGATTTGGAATCTTTAGATTCAATTAGAAACAAGACTGTAGAAGTGAAATGTAATATTTTCAATTAGTTTAATGAAAGTATATTAGAGATGAAAATATTAATATAGATAATAATAAGTGTATTTCAAAGGTGGAAAAACAAATTGATATTTCAGTTTAAATAAACTTCTGATCTGGTAGAGTTGAATTTTCTTAGACTCTCAATGAAAAGCTTTTATATAACGTGCATCTATTTAATAACTTAAGTTTAAATCACTTTTTTTAGTATTTAATGATTTGATATTCTGAAGATTCAATTAGAAATAAGACTGTAGAAGTGAAATGTAATATTTTCAATTAGTTTAATGAAAGTATATTAGAGATGAAGATATTAATATAGATAATAATAAGTGTATTTCAAATGTGGAAAAACAAATTGATATTTAAGTTTAAATAAACTTCTGATCTGGTAGAGTTGAAGTTTATTAGACTCTTATTGAAAGGCTTTTATATAACGTGCATTTATTTAATAACTTAAGTTTAAATAACTTTTTTTAATATTTAATGATTTGGTATTCTGAAGATTCAATTAGCAACAAGACTGTAGAAGTGAAATGTAATATTTTCAATTAGTTTAATGAAAGTATATTAGAGATGAAGATATTAATAAGTGTATTTCAAATGTGGAAAAACAAATTGATATTTAAGTTTAAATAAACTTCTGATCTGCTAAAGTTGAATTTTCTTAGACTCCTAATGAAAAGCTTTTATATAACGTGCATCTATTTAATAACTTAAATTTAAATCACTTTTTTTTAGTATTTAATGATTTGGTATTCTGAAGATTCAATTAGAAACAAGACTGTAGAAGTGAAATGTAATATTTTAAATTAGTTTAATGAATGTATATTAGAGATGAAGATATTAATAAGTGTATTTCAAATGTGGAAAAACAAATTGATATTTAAGTTTAAATAAACTTCTGATCTGGTAGAGTTGAATTTTCTTAGACTCTTAATGAAAAGCTTTTATGTAACGTGCATCTATTTAATAACTTAAGTTTAAATCACTTTTTTTAGTATTTAATGATTTGATATTCTGAAGATTCAATTAGAAACAAGACTGTAGAAGTGAAATG